CACATAGAATATTTAAGTGGATGAAAGCAAAACCAAATGTTCATGCTACGTTATGCTATGTTTTGTCAATGGTCATTTTTAAATATTATTAAAAAAAACACAAGATATATAAAACTAGAAATGAAAAATAATATAATGAACACTTCACATACAGATAGCATGCAAACACACCTGATTAGCTTGTGATTGGTGTCGATGTGCACCATGTACTTAGGGTAAGGAACTGTGTATGTTCTCCTCACCACACATCCCATCCGGGTCATCCTGGAGAGCACACCAACATGTCCACACGATGCATGGATGCATACTAGTGGTGCACGATAATTATCGGCCCGATAATTATCGGTCCGATATTAGGAATTATGACGTCATCCCGATAAATCCGATAACAGTATTAATAGCCCCGATAATATACAATATATTTTTTGGGTAAAAACAAAGAAAAAAATACTGCGGTGTGGGTGGATTGGGATGAGGGACGCTTATTTTTCACTCGGCTCCTCCCGTTTTGCCAGTACTGTGGTATTAGTGGTTTAGGAAGAGGAGAGTTTTTCACAAATCCAGCGCTCCCTAACTCATGCCTGGCTGTGATGTAAATGGTGTGCGGCCGTGAAGCCAGGACAGTAAACAAACATGTCGTCGGTAGTATGGGACAATTTCAAAGTTTCAGAGTTAGATAGTTCGCTTGCTATTTGTATTAACAAATGCAATGCAGAAGTTCCACGAGGAGGGAAAAAGGCAACGAGCTATAATACTTCCAACCTGATTAGTCACCTGAAACATCGCCATCGCTACGATGGTGTGTTAAAAGCATACGAAGACGCCTGCGCTGCTAAACTAGCGGCGAATCCAAAGCCAGCTGCAAAGGCACCGGGGCTTTTACCTATCGACGAGGCTTTTGAAAAAGGCAAGAAGTTTGCCAGAGACGACCCCAGGGCTAAAACGATCTCTAACTTCATCATAGAAATTATGGCGCTTGACGAGAGTCAAAACTGTTCTTGGCTTTGTTTTGTTCATAGTAGTAATGCTCATGTCATTTGCTCACTACTAGTCTTTTTTTTACCAACAGGTGTGCAAAAACTACAGGTACATTTAATATATATATATATTATATTATTATCGGTTATCGGTATCGGTCTTGAGAAGCAGGAAGTTATCGGTATCGGTATCGGTTTCAAAAAACCAATATCGTGCATCCCTAATGCATACACTCGGTCCCATTGCACTCTGTGTCCCTTTGCAAGTAGAGCACCTCGGACTATACTGTAGCCAGCATCTGGCATGGTGCTTTTAATGTTTGTGATCAATAAATCTAATTCATCGTCACTGCAGCCACTATATGAAGCTGATATAGATACATTATTTTCGGCCATCCGCCTAAATAGTCTTCAGGGTTCTTACACCTTTTCCAAAGTCAAATTCAAGCACTTTTCAAGCATTTTCAAGGTGCATTTTCCAGCTTTTCAAGCATCTTACAGCTGTTGTAAATTACATATTTATATACACATACTCAAATGATTATTTCCCTACCTCACAGTAAATCAGATGTTCTTTATGCTATAAACAACCAAATGTGTGTTTCGTGATAGCCTTCTACACGAGGATGACAAATTAAAGAAAAGAAAACTAAGTTTAATATTTCAAAATGAGTGACCCATCTGTATGTTCCATATAACCTGTCTGAGCCAATATAAAACAATCAGCCAAATAACTTTTCAATACATTATTGATTACTATTTTTGAGGTACTTTTAGGTTGGCAGTAAACACAAGTCAGAGGTACATGGTGTACTTCTACTCCACTACAGTTCAGAGGTACATGGTGTACTTCTACTCCTCTACAGTTCAGAGGTACATGGTGTACTTCTACTCCTCTACAGTTCAGAGGTACATGGTGTACTTCTACTCCTCTACAGTTCAGAGGTACATGGTGTACTTCTACTCCACTACAGTTCAGAGGTACATGGTGTACTTCTACTCCACTACATGTATTTAATACCTTTAGTTACTTTACAGATCAGGATGAATGATGTGAAATCTAATCAAGTGTTAAATCTTTAGTTCCACCTGGAGTAAATCCACAAGCTACCCTGCAGTATACAAAGTCATTCAAACTCACTGCACCTTTACCAGCTTTGAGAACACTTTCATGATCAATCATTATAAAACATAACATATATATTATTCTGAAATGGTCCAATCTGCACAACGACTACTTTTACTGTCGCTACTTTAACTATATTTGGATGAGAATACTTTTCTACTTTCACTTGAGGAATATTTTGAATGCAGGACTTTTACTGTGACAGAGTATTCCTACACTCTGGTACTTCTACTTTTGCTAAGTACAAGATCTGAGTACTTATAATTTCACTACAAGATCTGAGTACTTATACTTTTACTCAAGTACAATACCTGAGTACTTATTCCACCTCTGGTAGCGTATTAGCCTAAATTGTAGTCACAAAATCACGCAGAGCTGCATAAAAATAGACTCACAATGGTAACAAGTGGAAAATAATATTTACAAATGTGTACAATGATTTGTAGGTAATGCTGACTACTCAAGACACCTGACTTATACATCTTCAAAGGAAGACTGTGTTCATTCTACAATTACATGGGATTAAAGCAACATGTAGTTTTACTTGTATAATACTTACATTTTATATAAAGACAGTTTGTTTTCATCTGTTTTCAAATAAACAAAGTCTTGGCTTTCAGAATATTAAACTTGTTTCGGCAAATTCAGATGATAAATACAACTTTAAAGCTTCGGCATAATTACAAGCGGAGAACTGAGTAACTTAACGTCACAGCAGGTATAACAACAGCTGGTGTTTCTTGTGAGTGTTTCCCCGGGAAACAAACGCAAAAATACACACACACGAGCTTCCCCCAGACCAGTAATACAAACGAAAATGTGTCTTCGGGTCAATGTGACTGATTTCGATAGAGCAAGTCACATTTGGTTTAGGCACGAAACATACTACCAGTAGAAATACATTGCTTTCAAAATCGCTCTGTGTCGAATCAATCGATTATATTTTGTGACTATAACACGAAATGCCGTGAGTGCTTCATCCTCTGAACACCACAGGATGGCGACTGTAACGCACATAACATAGGTACGCTCATCTGAGATGATTGTCCCCTGCAATTATTATTATCCGTCAATCGAGTTCGCTATTCAGCTCGCTAACGTTAGCTTAAACAAACGTAACATGCAACGTTAGCCTAATCTAAAATGCTCTACTACGGCGTACCTTTCATGTGGCTCGTCAGCGCAGACTCTCGCATCGTTATTTTTGCAAACTTTGCAGGAGGCTACTCGTGGGCTTGACCCTCGTCTTAGCCATGGCTTGTATTTGTCTTCTGCTAGCCAAAGCTCGTTGAAACTGCAACCTCCTGGCACACATCTATCACTCTCATCATAATGCCCAGGTCACACGTAACACAAACACTTGCAGGTCGCGCGCATAGCGCGGGAAGGCCGCAGCAGAGCTGTTTTATGTAAAAGAAAAGCAATTATTTTCTTTTAATCTAAAAAGCGAACTATTCAGTCAGAAAGCAATTTATTGTAAAAGTAAAGCATTTACATTTTCAAGCACTTTATCTCAATTTCAAGCACCATTCCCAAATTCAAGCACTTTCCAAACCTTGAAAACACCACGTCAAATTTCAAGCATTTTCAAGGATTTCAAGCACCCGTACGAACCCTGAGTGTTGCTCTAGACACACCCAGAAGTCTGGCAATGCAATGTGATGACAGTCCTAGTTCTATAAGATTTGTCAGAGTCTTAATCGTGGACGCCCACGTCCAGAACCTCTTTGCAACTCCAGGGTTACAAATGTCTGTTCATTCTCTCTCTCCTGCTGGGTGAGAGTATTAAGGTCTGCAAGTGCAGACAGAATGTTCTCTCCTACATCAACTATGTCGCCCAGAGCACTTAATAGAACACAATCCTGACGGCACGCAAACTCTAACCCTTCGATGTCTACAGGTGTCCTCTCCAGGATGTGTGTTAGTCGATCATGCAGTCATTGAAAGATGTCACGCTTCAGTGATTCCTAGGGGATAAATTAAGAGATTAGAGATGACAAACATTGATCTGAAAATTATTGTTTGTTAGCTGCTCCATAAATGACAAGTTCTGCATTTTTTTAAAAGGCCATTTTATTCACCCACTAGCTAAGGCTTAGATTGTAGATGGCTAAAACCATTGGCCATCTCATATAGTCATTAAAGCAGTCAACAGCTGGGTTATATAGGAGTAAACAGCTGACTTCACTGGTGGTGGAACACTGGTGGGCAACAGAAGGGCAGCGCCAACAGCAATACTGTTTGAAAATGGTCGGTAAACAAGATACTACAAGATTATCTCTTTAATTATCTCCAATCTGGTGCCCACCGCTACTTTGCTACCACAGTATTTACTGTGATTAGAACGTTGATTTTGCCCACTAGTGTTCTGCGGGCCAACTAACGTTAGCTAAGTGACTTTATGATCCTACTCATGCTAGGTTGGCCATTAGCATTATTTAGCTTACTTGTTCGCACATGTATGCTAGTATTAAATGCCACACATAATACATACATAGTAACAAAGCAACCATTCATAGCTTAAACATACTTAATCATGAACGGCAATATACTTCGACTTGAGGCGATAGACCCTGTCAAACAGTTATTTTCAATAACGTCAACTTCATTTAAAGATAATACTTGATAGCAGTACAACCAACTTAGCATACAGAAACTTTAGACAGACTTAACAGCGCTAGCTAATGTTAGCTTATTAGCTACATCACAATTAAACCTACTAAACAAGTTCCAAATATTGCTTCATAATTAAGCAAACGTAATATTGTATAGTTCGAGATTATTGCATGACTAACGACAAGATGTGAAAGTATTATACTTCACTTCCACTGTTAGCGGGAGCGCCACTTCCAGAAGCCATGTTGATGGAGATGAACTCTGAACTTTCACGGGCCGGCCACACTACAAGCGTAAAATTCGCTTCCAACGCCCCAAGATTTACGCTTGGGGCGTTTCTTCGAGCCCCGCGACCAACAACCAATCAGAATCTCCATGTGAATCTCCCGCCCCGGACATACAAAGTGAAAAACCCCGGTTCTTCTCCACTATTGCTAAAATGGATGCCGGTGTTGTAGCAAGGGTAAGCAGGGTAACTCGTGTGTGTGCAAGGTTGCATTTAGTGTATACATTGTCTCGCATGAGGCCGTGTAGTGTGCGTCGCTTCTGGGTACACCCGATACTCCGAAAGCGTCTACAAAGGGGGGAATACCACCTTCTGGTCCAGGAGCTCCGTCTCGATGACCGCCTTTTTCAGAGGTACTTCAGGATGAGCAAGGAGGTGTTCGACGAGTTGCTCGGAAAGGTGGGCCCACTGATTACAAAGGTGGACACCCATCTGCGTATGTCAATCGACCCCGCCGAGCGACTCGCCATCTGCCTACGGTACGTTTTGTGTATTTCTACTTCTTTAATCTGACTCTGTATAGAAGGAGAGAGAATGCACGAATGATGACTGAAGTCTGTGATTTAGTTCAGATGGGTAACATTAATTAAGATATCTAGGTAAACACAGTATTGCTCCCCTGTGTACATGGCGTGTGTGTCTGTGTCTGTGATCAATGTGTGTGTGGGGATCTGTGTGTCTGTCTGTGTTCAATGTGTGTGTCTGTGTTCAATGTCTGTGTTCAATGTGTGTGTCTGTGTTCAATGTGTGTGTCTGTGTTCAATGTGTGTCTGTGTTCAATGTGTGTGTCTGTGTGTCTGTGTTCAATGTGTGTGTCTGTTCAATGTGTGTGTGTCTGTGTTCAATGTGTGTGTCTGTTCAATGTGTGTGTCTGTGTTCAATGTGTGTTCAATGTGTGTCTGTGTTCAATGTGTGGAGGGGGGATCTGTGGTCTGTGTGTGTGTGGGGTCTGAATAAATATATTTTGTAATCATGTATATATCTTTTTTTCTCAGGTACCTGGCAACTGGTGACTCGTACGCGACGATAGCCTTCAGCTATCGGGTCGGGCGTTCTACAGTGGCAGTCATTGTCAAGGAGGTTGCGGGGGCCATCTGGACCGCCCTGGTCGAGGAGTGCATGCCGGTACCACAGGTGGAGGATTGGAGAGCCATCGCTGCTGGGTTCCAGGAGCGCTGGGAGTTTCCCAACTGTGTTGGTGCCATAGATGGGAAGCACGTCGTTATCCAGGCTCCAGCAAATGCAGGTTCCCGCTACTTTAATTATAAGTCCACCCACTCCTTGGTACTGCTGGCTGTGGTGGATGCTGAGTACCTGTTCAGGGTAGTGGATGTTGGAAGCTTTGGGAGGAGCAGCGACAGTGGGAGCCTGCGGAATTCTGCATTTGGAGAGAGCCTCCGAGACGGCAGTCTGCAGCTACCACCTGACACCGTCATCGCAGGATCAGAGCGGCGGGGCCCTCTCCCCCATGTCTTCGTTGGAGATGAGGCATTTCCACTGCTGGACAACCTTCTGCGTCCATTCCCTGGACGTCACCTCACCCGTGAAAGGAGGTTATTTAACTACCGCCTCAGCCGTGCCAGGTTGGTGGTTGAATGTGCGTTTGGCATCCTCTCAACCCAGTGGAGAATGCTCAGGCGTGTCATCACCACCAGCCCCGAGGTGACGGAGTTGTGTGTGAAGGCTGCCTGTGTGTTGCATAACTTCCTCCGCAGGAAGACCATTGATATGCCATCACGCACACCTATCGCAAGGTCCACGGATTAAGTTACTCCAACCCTGTGTGATGCACCGAGGATGGGCTCCAACAATGCCACACGGCGATCCATCCAACAGCGGGAGACCTTCTGCTCCTACTTCAACGAGGAGGGGGCAGTGCGATGGCAGGCAAATGTGGTGTAGGCCCATATTTGTCTCCAAACCAAAAAGCTCTTTTAAGAGCTACCCATTTTCTTTAAAAAGCAAATATTCCAAATGAGCCATTTTAAAATCAACCATTCCTAATAAACATGTTTCTTGAATTGATATCATGATATAACTAACAACCTTTTTCCTTCAGCCCTGTTTTTAGTGATAAACCACTCATAATTTTCATCAGGGTTTCACCTGAATAATTACAGAAGACAGCACATTATATATCGACATACAAGAAGCTCCTGGTATGTTGTAACTGACAAACCACATGAACAAGTCAAGACACAGTATAGCCATAACATACTTTTAAATAACTTTTATTTATGTGATGATGAGTGATGAGTGTAAAAAGATGTAATGTGGATCAGTATCAGTATCTAATTAATTAATTATTAATGTCCATTTCTGTGGCCTCCAGGACCGCCTCTTGTAGCTTCATTTTCAGTCTCATGCTGCTCGTCCTGCTCAGCTTTTGCATTGCAGGCCAGAGACTCCTTAAAAAAAGGAGGTCCTCGTCTTCCACCTCCACCACTGGTGGTGGGGGTGGTGGTGGTGGTGGCATGGCCAGCATCGGGCCTACGGCCGACAGCAGGTTCTCCTCAAAAGGGGACATCTCCCTTCCCCTGCTCTTCTTCCCCCGGAATGCTGGCACACCGTCTGGCACACTGGCCGGCACACTGGCCGGCTGACTGCTACCTGGCTCTGGCTGGCTTTCCAGACTGTCATCCAGGCTGTCACCCATAGAGTCTTCCTCTTCTTCTGCTCTGGTGGGTGGAGGCAGGGGTTGCCGGGGGAAATTGCTGGACGTCTCACGGTCCAGCATGAAGGGCTTTAAAAAGCTCATTACTGCCGCGAGACGCCAGGGCTTAGATCCCCCGGAAGCCCCTGTCCCGCTACTTTTCCCTTCCTTCTCCAGGATCCTCTCCCTGCGGTATCGGTCCCTGAGGGACTTCCAACGCTTTTTGCACACTTCGTCTAATAAAATGAAAATGAAAGAATACAGTTAATTTCTTGAATTTCAGAAAATGATTGCTCCATTAATGAAAACCAAATCCCTTTCAATTGCATACAAGGTTTTACATGTCACACTTTATCAGAATCAAAAACAGGTTTATTGCCAGGTAGCTTTGCACATACTAGGAATTTGACTTGATGTCATGGTGCATATATACAAAACAAGAAATCTAATATAAAACACAACATGTATTGTACAGTTAAATTGCAAAAAGATAAAAATTAAATAAAGCAGTAATTTACATGGAAATAGAATGCTAGGAATGAATTTTTGCATATATATATATAACTAAGAAATGTGAAAGGAGTATGACTGTGTGCATTAATGTAATGCAATATAGTCTATGATGTGGCAGCGGATGATTAACATGTATGTGATTAATGTCTATGGCGCTATTTTATGCTAAATATACCGGCTATGTTTCATTAGCTATGTTAACATGAAGTAAACTGGATATAAAATCCCCAAACAGGCGAAAACCTACCAGTTTCCCCCACTGTCTCTGCCACCTCCTTCCATGCCTGGTTCCTCTGGTTTCTATCCCGGTAGGTGAACAGGGTCACATCAAATAATACAGGGTGATTCGCTACCGCTACGATTATAACCTCGTCTATTTTATTTCAAATATAGACATGAACGGCGGGATATCTCAGGATATCTCTCCCAGCGTATGCGCGTTTTTTGATTGGCTACGGCTTGAGCTGTCAGATTTTCTGAAACGGGATTTGATTGGCTTACGCTCACTTGTCAGGAACCGAGAGAGCGTTTCGTGCGTAAAAAGTTCAACATTGTTCAACTTTTTACGCGCGCTCTCAAAGTTACGCTTGCCTTCCCGTGATGCAGTTCGGCGAAAACGTGAGCGGACGTGACGTCACCCCATTCAAAGTGAATGGGCAGACGCGCTAGAGGCGTAATTTTACGCCTGAAACGCTTGTAGTGTGGAGGGCCCGTAACGTTAGCTGCTGCTGGCGCAACTGCCACCACCAACACCGGGCAAAGCGATGCACCTGACTGCTGGACAACGGACCAGGTGCAATATTTTTGCAAGACCAATGCATGGCTCCTTCTTAAAGATAAGAAGCTAGGATGTCGGATATGCAGAGATGTCAAATCTTTGGGAATACACACTGGACAAGGACTGAAACTGTCAACTGAATGGGGTGAGTGTGCAGTGTCTCATTTCGGTGTTGACAAGGGCAAACAACAAGCTAGCCTGAGAAAAAAAATCAAAGAACATAAAGAATCACAAGCCCATGTAAAAGCTGCTGACATCCTTACATCTGCTTCACGTGAAACTATTCAACATCAAGTGCAGTCTATGCATACATCTGAATTAGACACCACTATCAGAGTTTTTCGAACCGCATATAACATTGGCAAACATAGCCGGCCATTCACAGACATGCCAATTGATTTGAATGTACAGAAACTGAATGGGCTGAACGTGGGCAGGGTTTTGCACTCCAATAAAACCTGTGGCGAAATCATCGACCACATAGCTCATGAGCTGAAGAAAAAAATGGCAAAAGACATTACAGAAAACCAAAGAAAACTCTGTGTTTTGGTCGATGAATCTACCACTATTAGTGGTAAAACGGTGCTTGTTGTGTGTCTACGCTCAGCATTAGCTGATGCTGAGCCCGAAACGTTTTTTTGGGAGCTGATCGAGTTGGATGGAACAACGGCTGATGACATCACAAAGGCGTTAATGGAGTGTCTTGGAAGAGATTTTAACGAGGACTTTTTAGGTCAGTGTTTCGTTTCTTTTGCATGTGATGGGGCTTCAGTCATGCTAGGGAAGAGAACAGGCGTTGCTACCCAGTTGTGTAGTAAATTCCCAAGCCTGTTTGTGTGGCACTGCTCCAATCATCGTCTAGAGCTGGCAGTTGGGGATGTGGTCAAGGAGGTCTCAGGGCTCAATCATTTCCAGATCTTTTTTGACAAACTCTATTCCTTGTTCCATGCCTCCCCCAAAAATCAGAGGCAGTTAGCGCAGTGTGCGCAAGCAGTCGGACAGCGTCTCCTGGTGATAGGGCGTGTTTTGTCCATCCGCTGGGTGGCTTCAAGTGAAAGGAGCATCAGAGCAGTCTGGGAAAACTACCGAGTGCTTCATGATCACTTCACAAATGCTGCAAACGACACGAGCAGGGATTCCAGAGACAGAGCAAAGTACAAGGGCCTGGATGATGTGCTCACATCTGCAACGTTTGTCAGCAATCTGGGACTGATGTACGATGCGCTCACAGAGCTCAGCGACCTCTCGGCAACTCCAAAAAAGAGAGATGACACTGCCTACAGCAGATAGGCTCTTAACTCGAGAAATACGAGTTTTTGAATCCATGGTCACCATGCCTGGCCCACACATGACTACAGTTCATACAGCTCTAGCTGAGAAGTCCTTCAAGGGTGTTGCCCTGCGTGAGAATGGCAGGCTTGTACAGATTCATGCAGGTCAGTTTTTCCACAGTATGGTAGAGAATCTGAGACACAGAATGACTTCCACAACCTCCTCTCATGTCAGCACAAGAGAAATCCCATTACATGGCCGGGAGGCCCGGGACAATCAGCTAATCCAGGACATGAAAGTTATCCATCCTGGAAGTTGGCCTGAAGAGGAGTTAGACGTACAGTATGGGGACGTAGAGGTGCTACGTTTGTGCGAAGTGCTGAAAGTGGACAGAAGAGAGACTGTTCAGGGCTTTCACGAATACAAGGAAACCAGGGCATCCCGTACACCTGCTGCCATGGAGCCTCTACTGAAAGCAGTCCGAACCATCGCTGTCTCCACTAGTGAGTGTGAGCGGGCATTCAGCTGCATGAACGATATCCTTACTGCAAAAAGGAATGCTCTCTCTGTCAGCCGACTGTCCAGCCTGGTTTTTATTAAATGTAATGGACCATCACTAGGACAGTTCAATCCGGAACAGTATGTGAGGTCCTGGCTGGCAAAGGGAAGGAGAAGTGCTGATGAAAGAGCCTGTCCAGCTCCAGCCCCTGATACTGATGTCCCCAAGGCCTTCTGGAGCCTTTTCTAACAATGTGAAGTATATTGCAAAGCAGCTCACCCAGTGAGAAGACTTTTGGCATAATGTGCCGATTTGTACAGATCCTGGAGATAGAAGGACTTCAGACCAACCAGGGAGTTATCTGATCAGCTTGGTGTTCAATGTAACTCTTTACCATGGCTCAAACTTTGTTACTTGCAGTTACAGTTTCTCATTTTAGATTGTGCAAATTTTGCATTTGTTTTTACATGTTCTTTGTTCATGCTCTTTATCATTTTTCTGAGTTGGAAAGTTAGATTGCATCATAGTTTACTTTATACATATTTGTATTCTTCAGTGGTGAAGTATATTGCAAAGCAGCTCAGCCATGTGAGAAGACTTTTGGCACTTTTTCGTTTTTCGTTTTCTGAGTTGGAAAGTTAGATTGCATTCAAAATGTACAGAAATACTTAATTTTGTTAAAGCTTTTTATAAAAAATGCTTCTGACCAGAGCTTTGTTTCCTTGTCATTAATGTTGAACACCACCAGAGGGGCTCTCACCTGAAAGGTCTCTGCTTCATGTGTCTTCAGCAGAAGATCTAGACTTTGATTGCTATATTTTCAGTTAATATTGACCTTACTGAGCTTTAGCCATATCCGCTGCCTATCATAAAAAATGTTAAGTACAGTGAACCTTTCTAAAATATACAGTAGTAAAGAGACAAACCCACCAGCATTATAGTAGCCAAATTCTTGTTTGTGGGCTGTATATATAAAATTGACTTGAAAAAGTTGCTGATTTTAGAGTACTGGCACCTTTTTCATTCCAATTCAAGCACTGCCCCATAGTTTACAGAGATGCTGTTTGAGAAACCAATGTGAGTTGCGTTTATCTTTACCCATGGATGCACAATAAGAACGGACCCATATCGTCTTACTGCCAGCCCACGGAGCTGTAATAATGGATATATTGCACATGTTTGCTGTAATTCATTATCATACTACATGGGCTGTATGATTAAATCTTCTACCGTAAATGTTGTATTAAATAAAGTTAATATTGCTTATTATTATAAGTATATATATTATATATATATATACAAAGATGGGGTCGTTACTAAAAAAAAGTAATATATTACATATTACATATTACTTTTTAAAAAAAAGTAATATATTACACTACTTCGTTACTCTCTACATAAAGTAACTCGTTACTTTATTCGTTACTTTGCTCGTTACTTTACTCGCAGGGCCGGCCCGCCCCTACAGGCAGATCACGCAGACTGCGGCGCACCTACAGTGTAAGCGTGCCACAGTGTTGCCTCTGCGAGACTCCACTTGCACCCTCAATTACTATTGCATTTAGGAAGACATAACACAAGTCTTTCTTTATGCTCTAAAATAGGCTACCAGCCACACAACAAGCTAACGTGAAACGTCAAGACACTAATTAATGAAACCAGTTCAAGACGCATTATTCTTATCATTCTTTTTGAGCGCAGTAACGGTAAGGTATCTAATTACTTATTTATTTAGTATTCCATAACTTAGTAACAGAGATGGTCAAACTAAAGTGGTAGAGACATGGCAGAATTCCTACAATGAAGCGGGACATTGGACTGTTCACCCGTGAGAGGGCGATCAACAAAAGAGAGCGAGCGGCCCCGTTGAGGGAGTTTACAGATGAAAAGACACAGCCATGTTTATGCAGCACTGCACGTGGAGATGTGGTCTCGCAAATCGC